GGCATTTCTTTACTCTATTAACTGAATCTCTCACAGATGACAATTTTACGTAGCTAAACATTAATTTAAAGAAGTAGAAAATTAGACTATGAATTGATTAGGTCCAAGAGGTCTATAAGACATTTTGTCAGCTGAAGAATAGCACTTTAATGAACCAAATCAATACCATTTTAATGGGGTTTTTTTTGTTTGTTTGTTTGTTTGTTTTACCCGATACTCATTTTAAGCTAATCCAATGCTGTAAGTGTTCGCTTGGTTATACCAAGAAATTTGGAGGACAGTTGCCTGCCAACCAACTGGAAGAGAATCTAAAGCATATTTATGCTCATTCAAAAAAAAGGTGACCCAACAGAATGTAGAAATTATCAAACTATATCATTAACATCACACACAAATAAAGTTTTGCTGAAGGTAGCTCAGTAATGATTGCAGCAGTACATTTACAGGGAACTGCCAGAAATCAACTGCATTTAGAAGATGTTGTAGAGTTACAGGTATTGCTGATGTCATGTCAGATGGATCTTGGTTGAAAGAGAATACCAGAAAGAGGTCAATCTATGTTCTATTGACTATGGAAAGGCATTGGATTGTGTGGATCATAAGAAATTATGGGGCTATTTCAAAAATGGGAATCCCAGAACACTTCATTGTGTGCATATACCAAGAAGCAGTTGTTCGAACAGAACGTGGGGCTACTGCATGGTTTAAAATCAGGAAAGATGTGCTTCAGGGTTGTATCCTTTCACCATATTTAGTTAATCTGTATCCTGAACACAAAAACCAAGAAGCTGGACTACCTGAAGACAAACACAACATCAAAATTGGGGAAAGACTAATTAATAACCTGCAGCATTCACATGCTACAACCTTACTTGCTGAAAGCAAAAAGGACTTAAAACACTTATTGGTGAACATTAAAAACTTCAGCCTTCACTGTATACTATGCTTCAAAATAAAGAAAAATAATCCTTATAATAAGCAACATAATGATAAACCAAGAATAACAGGATAAACAGAAAAGTTGTCAAAGATTTCATTTTAATTGGCTCCACAATCAACATTCAGGGAATAAGCAGTCAAGAAATCAACCAACACCATATTGCATTGGGCCAAACTACTACAAAAGAGCTCTTTATTTACAGTGTTCAAAGTGAAGATGTTGCTTTGAGAACTAAGATACATCTGACCCAAGCCATGTTATTTTCAGTTGCCTCATACACATATGAAAGCTGAACAGTGAGTAAGAAAGACCAAAGAAAATCTGATGCATTTGAATTAAGGTGTTGGAAGAATATTGAATGGACTGCCAGAAGAACAAAGACAAATCTCTTGGGATAGGTACAGACAGAGTAGAGTGTTCCTTAAAAGTGAATATAGTGAGACTTTGTCTCTTAGACTTTCAACATAATTATCAGGAAGAACAAGTCCCTCAAGAATGACATCATGATTGGTAAAGTGCAGTGTCAGCAAAACAAGAAGATCCTCATTGAAATAGATTGATTCAGGGGCTGCAGCAATGGCCTCAAGCATAGCAACAACTCTGAGGATGGTGCAGCCCCAGGCATTGTTTTGCACCATTTTACATAGAGTCTTAATGAATTGGAACTAACTCAAAGGCACCTAACAACAATAATATCCTTTTTAGTGAATATGAATAATATGCCAGTGGAGATGAAATAGAAGAATTCTACCAACTTCTTCAATCTGAAATCGATCAAACATGCAATCAAGATGTATTGCTCATTACTGGTATTGGAATGCAAAGGTTGGGAGCAAAGAGAAAGGACCAGTAGTTGGAAAATTTGGACTTGGTGATAGAAACGATGCTGGAGAACAAATGACATATTTCTGCAAGACAAATGATTTGTTTATTTCAAATACCTTCTTTAGACAGCATAAGAGACGACTATATACATGGAATTTGCCAGATGGAACACATAGAAATCAAATTGACTACATCTGTGGAAAGAGAAGATGGAAAAGCTCCATTTCATCAGTGAAAACAAGGCCAGGGCAGACCATCAATTACTGATAGGCAAATTCAAACTGAAGTTGAAGAAAATGAAAACAAGTCCACGAGAGCCAAAATATGACCTTGAATTTATCCCACCTGAATTTAGAGACCATCTGAAGAACAGATTTGATGCATTA